GACGCGCCTCTCCTCCGGGAGCTCGCTGAGACACTTTGCTTTAGGGCTCGGCAGGGTGGTTTAGGGGTTTTAGGTGTTTAGGGTTTAGGGGTTTAGGAGTTTTGGGGTTTAGGATTTTAGGGTTTAGGATTTTGGGGTTTGGGCGTTTAGGGTTTAGGGGTTTAGGGTTTAAGGGATTTACGGGTTTAGGGTTTGGGTGGTTTATGGGGTTTAGAGGTTCAGGGTTTTGGGTTTTGGGGTTACGGGTTTGAGAGGTGGGGGCTTATGGGGTTTAGGGTTTAGGGCTGGAGGGGTTTAGGGGCTTTGGCTTTGAGGGGTTTAGGGGTTTAGGGTTTAAAGTTTAGGGTGTAGGGGAATGCACTGTGTCAAACGCCTTGCTTGTATCTATGGAAAGAGTGACTCCACCCTGGCAGGAAGTGGGTTTCCGTCCAGTATCCCTGCGCTCTCTCAGGGTTAGACGGTGCGCAGCTAAGGTGCTCTGCACTCGGACAATGGCATGCTCAATGCTTCGTCCCGGTATGTACGCATACTGGGGCCAGTGACGCGTCGCCTCTACGATACGGCCTCCGCCTTCCGTAAGGGAGATGGGGCGGAGATGTTCGGGTTGATCCGCAGCCTTTCCAGGCTTGGGTAGCCAGGCTATCCAGGCATCGGCCCAGAGATGATGAAATTCACCAATAGGGGTTTAGGGGTTTGAGGGGTTTAGTAGTTTAGGAGTTTAGGGTTTCGGGGTCTAGGGTTTAGGGTTTTGGGTTTGGGAGGGAGGTGGGGTGTTCCCAAGTAGGAGTCCTCATCTAAGGGATCCTTGATCCTACCTACTTTCATCCCACCTTTTGAGGCCTCCGGGAATGGAGACAGGAGGCTTTTCCAAGTCAATTAACAGTTAGAGTACAGTTTTTCGGGGGTAGAATGTAGTTCGTCATAAGGAACCCCTAACAAAAGGGGTATAAGAGGGTAAAGCCTGTAGTATTTAAAGCCCTAAACCCGAAACCCTAAACCCTAAACCCTAAAAGGACCCGTCACATGGAGCCCTTGTGAGCCCAGGCTCGAAGCTCCACCGCACAGAAAATGCGCAACGCGACATCGGATTCGGGTGTAGGGTTGAGGGTTGAGGGTTGAGGGTTTAGGGTTGAGGGTTTAGGGTGTAGGGGTTTAGGGTTTAGGGTTTAGGGTGTAAGGTGTAGGGTTTAGGACAGGTATCTCAGTATCTAGGGTCTGTATTCTGGTTCCGGAATGTCAGGAAACTCGGCTTTTGAGCACCTGATGCGAACACTTCAAGGGCCCTTAAGTCAACCAACATCAAGTGTACAGTCGCATCGAATCTGAAGCAAAGCTGAGCAAAACTCTGCTGGTACTCTTGCAGAAGCTTGGTTCTTGAACAAGCTGGGTCAAGCAATCCCAAATTCCTAAACCCGAAACTCTAAACCGAACATGGTTTGCAAACCCGCAAACCCTGAACCAAACACCCTTCTACAGCCAAAGTTTTCAGCCAAAAACCGCGCAAAAATGAGGCTAGCTCTCTGAAGTAGGGT